GGCCTTCAAAACAACGGCGTAATTAAATCGATTCCATCTTTGGTGCGTGGCGTCGTCATCAATAATTTCCGACTGTTTTATCATGCAAACTTAAATATACCTTGTTAGCACAAACCGCAGTGAAAATTCGTTTCCCGAAAACAGTATTCGAGTTCAGTCGGGTTGTAATAATGAACACAACTTTAATGGAAACTGATGTGGAGTGGCATTTAAAACGTCATTTATAAATTATGTTTTAAAGCCTGTTTCTTTGTTGTTCACACCACATTACATGTTGATCTGACCTTGCCGCCCTCGTATTCGTTTCATTAATCTATAATGTCTCTTATTTTGTAGCCGTTATGTTGAATCACCTGAATTCTATTTTATGACGGTTTTATGATCTAGGCTTTTTTCATAACTCCTGTAAAACTTCCTTGTTGGTTCTGTTTATGCGCTGTTTCTTTTTCTTTTTATTGACGGTATAAATTCAAAGGAAATTTATTTTCGAGAGTCGGGAATTTTTAATTTTAATCAGAACTTGCACTTGAAATCGTTAGATGAAGTGAATATCAATAAAATTAAATGAGATCTATTTCGCAAAATTTTGAGATGACGTCGTCACATTTTTAATGGGGATGAAGAGGCAAATTCTGATAAGCGTTTTACCGTCTACCTGATATTCTTAAAATAAATCAAAAATTTCACTACAACTGAGATATCGACAATTGGACGTCGTGATATAATCACTACTTTTCTACTAATTTTAATCCGTGCAAAAATACATGTACGGATCGTGTTCTTGGTGTTACTTACTGGCTATGTGTATGTAACTAGGATAATATTATACTCCTACTATTTTTACCAATTATTTTTTCAAAAGCGTATTTATTGAACCAAGAATCGCTCTATGACCAAAAATTCAACAATGGACTTTGATGGAAATTATTTTTACTTCCTGAGCGTAAGCTTTCATGTTTTCTCGACGTTTCGTGACCCTTGGAGTACGAAAAAATAGGTCTCCCATTTCCGTCCGTCTGTCTGTCTATCTGTTGTAAAACTGTATGTGTATGGTAAAATGCTAACCAAAATTTGGATAAACATCTCCACCAATTTACATTAGTAAATATTATTTCAATTTTATAAAATAAGGTACTCCTTCACATGCGGTTTATGAATCCGTGTTCGGTTTTTACAATAGACATCCAAAATTTTTTGAAAAAAATTCAACATTTTGCAATTTAACTTTGAAACTACAATATCGAATGGTCTGAAGTCTTGCAAACGTTTTCAAGTGATCGTAATCATGGTAAATCGTTCATCAAAATTTATTGATTTACCCCTTCCAAAAAATTGATGACGTCATCTCAGAATTTTGCCTCTCTTAAATATGCAAAATATTATGACTCTACAATTGTGGTTTATCAATACACTAATAAATTTTAGAAATACTTATACAAGGTGACTCTAAAAATTAATAAATGAGTTTTTTGTATGGATTAAATTACACTCAATTTTCCCGAAAATTTTGGAATGCAGTACTGTAATCACTATTAAATTGCATTTATCCAAATTGATATGTCTTTGCAAAAATGGTAATGACGTCATAAAAAAATTTTTTAATGGAAAAACTCACTTGAAACAAACGCATAGTATGCTTCTGCTTATGCTTACATTTACTTTAACATTACATACATATCCTTATGTTAATTTAAAATGATTATCATAAAAAAATATAAAAGCAAATTTTTCAATTTTTGGAAAATCTGGATTTACGTTCGACAACTTTCTTGATATCACATATTCGTTTTTTCACTTTCTTTATTTTTCCAATTCTTCCATTTTTTAGTATTTCACTTTCAAATTGTCCGTTTAACCTTAATTTATTTAATTTCCAATTTTTCAATTTTTCGTTTCTTCAATTTTTCGATTTGCAATTTTGCAATTTTTGGAACTTACATTTTTTCATTTCTCAATTTTTCAACATTCGTTTCCCCAATTTTTTCAAGCTATTGATATTTATTTTTCATTTCCTATGTTTTCATTCTTTTGATTTATTATTTTTCGTTATTAAATTTTTCACATTTTCAATATTTGATTTTGCAATTCCCTCGATTTTCCAATTTTTAAATTTGCCATTTTTGGATTTCGCAAATATCTAACTTTCCGATTTAATTTTCAATATTTCGATTTTACAATTTTTCGTTTTTTTTTTGTCGATTTTGCATTTTTTCGATTTTGAAGGTTCCAATTTTTAATTTTTCGAGTTTTGTATCTTTCGTTTCCCCCATTTTTAAAGTTCCTGATTTCCCATTTTTTTATTTTTTAAAGATTTCATATTATGCTTGTTCGTAATTTAGTTTTTGATTTGTCACTTTTACAATTTTTGAGATTTTTCCATTTTTTGGTTCGAAAAGTTGAAAAATCGAATAATTAAAAAATAAATCAGAAAAAATTGAAAAATCGAACAACGGAAAAAAAGAGAAACTAAAAAATCGACGAAATGTAAAATAGAAAAATTGAAAATTCGATGATCCGATGAAACGAAAGATTGAAACATTGAAAGCTAAAACTTAAACTTAAAAATCGAAAAAAATTAATAAATTGAAAAATTAAAAAGAAGGAAAAACGAATCGAATTGAAAATTTGAAAAGCCGTAAAAATTGTAAAGTCGAAAAACTGTAACAATGAAAGATGGAAGAATTGAAAAGTTAAATATTCAGAAATTCAAAAATTAAAAATTGAATAAATGAAAGTTTTATAATCTAATAATTGAAATATGGAAAAATAAAAATCGTAAAATTGAAAAGGCGAAAAATTTTAAAACTTATAAATATTACTACATATTTAAAAAAATAAAAAAAATAAGAAAAATGCAAAAAGAGAAACTGAAAAACCTAAAATTGAAAAAACGAAAGAATAGAAAATCTAAAAGTTGAAAAATCGAAAAATGGAACAATTTCGTATTGAAAAAATAAAGAAAATAATAAACAAATAACGACAAATTGAAGAAATGAAAAATTAAAAAATCGAAAAATTGAAAACTCGTGAAATCTAAAAGTTAGCAAATCGAAAAACTGGAAAATTTAAAACTGAAGACTCGAATTACATCTCGTAAAGTTGAAGAAACCAAAAAAAAAATATGAAAAACTGCAAATCGAAAAACTGAGGAAACGAAAAATTGAAAAAATTGGATTTGAAAACAGCTTTTAAATCGAAAAACTGGAAAGTCTAAAAATTGAAAAATTAAGAAGTTGGAAAATTGAAAAACTGGAAAATTTGAATTTGAAAACTCGAAAAATTGCAAATCAAAAAACTTAAAAAACAAAAAAGACGAAAAATTGAAGAACTGAAAAATTTTAGTCAAATAAACTGCGGGAGTGTTATTTACGGCACTGGTTTTAGCTTTGTAGAGGTTATCAGAAAGCAAAAATCGCTAAATTTTTTTATAATTTTTCAAAGAAACGGGATTTATTGGGTACTTCACGAGCGAGGGAAGTCCTGTCAAAAATCTTCGACCCATTTTTTAACGATTTGGAATAAAAGAAATACAAGAAAGTATAACTTCCTGTCGATCTTTAACTGTAGTCGGACCTCTGGAAGACCACACCTTCGTATCAATCCAACGAAATAATTAATAACAAAATCTGGTCAAACAAGAACTCTAAAAATAGAACCAGAACTTTACGTTCCTATCTTCTAATTTTAGCACTCATTATTTAACCATGAGCTCATGAACATGATAAATGTTTCTGCAATTGTAGTGAAGGTAAGTGAACTTCGCAACGCAATTCAGATGAGTCAGACAAAATAAATGCTTCCTATTTGCAGCGAATCTCTAAATGCAAAACACACACAAAAAGCAAGCTTCATTAAAGCTCACATCCATTCCGACCTTTTATCGTCGGATGAAATTTTTCTTTTTCGCGATTTTTCACCCTCAAATGAAGTGGGTGCAAATGTGCAGCCATCCAGGATGCAAAAACCGTACCCGCATGAAAAGCCGCCCTTTTCCCCGAAAAACACGGACAATTATCATTTTCGGTCGGACAAGACCCGCATCAGCATTATGTGAGACCCCTCTCCAACAATTTAATCCTTCTCGGTTATTAATTAAAATCCTAATGTCCTTAATTAATACAAGGCTGTCACTGCAAAGCTGCGCAGCTCATATTGCGGCGGCTTCTCCAACTGAACACCAAATGAAACCCTAACTTAACAAGCTGATATATTACGTGTCTCGTCCATTAGGAAATGAAACGTCAGTACAACCCCGAAACCTTCTCGACAGGTGGAAACAGGAATAGTCCTGAACTTTTGATCTTTCGTGTTTCTCCTTCATCATCAAATTCGTACATCTAACGGAAGCAATAAATGCAATCCCTTCGTTCGTTCTTTCCCGAAAAAAATATATTCTCGCCTAATCGAAAACAATCCTTTCCGGGCCATTGTGCCACGGCCCTAATCTGCCAAAAAAGCGTCTAGTCTGATAACACGACCCGAAAGTAAGTCAAGAATAACCCCCGATAAAGATTCAACCGAAGTTAAATGAACACCATTTATAAACCTAACCCCGAGATGTATAAATCACTTCACTATATCTATGACGTCACTCGCAACGAAAAATCTCGATTTATCCGCATTGCACCAAATAGGATTAGAGGAGGCTTCGACGGGCTTCAGCGGAAGTGCTACAAATGGCAAGATGCCACATGCACCTCATAAAACGTGCATAATCGAACTTGCTCTTAAAACTTCCAGGACGAGCCGTATTCCGAGATTGCCGTTTACGATAAAATCAATTATGTTATTTGCGTACGCAATCGGCGAGATCTGAACCAGATATAGTTACCTAATTTTGATTTCGCATGTCTAGAAAGCTGCGGCGAAAAAGCGTGCATGACAATCGGGTCGCCTCAAATTAACATACATTAAATAAACAAAGCAAAAAACACACATAAAAAAGAAACAAGCGTTTATTGCAAGGAATACATTGTTGACTTGACACATCGCATACTTACTGACGAACTGAACTCGCTTCGGCTGGTTAGTCCTTGGTTTCGTTTTTACTTTTGTAATTGGCAATTGTCTTCTATGTACTGAAAAGGAAACTTTCGGTCAGGTTTGTTCAATCGCGGACGCAACCTTGGCAAAGTCTGTATGGTGCGGACTCGATCTCCAATCCCCGAGGTACAGTAAGGAAAAAAACCAAAAATAGAAAACCGTTCTAGAATTAGCTTCGAAGACTTGTTTCTACAGTAAAACAAATACCCCAGGCGTCAATTAGTTGTTTCGGAACGAAATCAATGTTTAAGAATCAGCCTAATTAAGCCCGGCTGTATCAAATGTCAGTTTGATGTTCCCGGGGCAAAACAACACAAAACCGACCTTAATGTAGGTCACTTCCAACTATCGAGTTACTACCAGCGTTGATAAACACAGACTAATTTTCGCTATTACGGAAAGTTTGGCGAAATTTTCGCCTCCGACCTTTGTTGCTAGCCGTTTATCTGTCAACGCAGTCCTACACCATCATTGTTCCCATCCATTGTCTCCTTTCTTCTAGGCGAAGATCCGTCGAAAGCGGAATTAAAGTGACCTTCGTGAAAATCGTACACCGACAGTGATTTATCACTTCATCAAATTGCCTTTTACCACGTTCAACGATCAATCTTAGGAAGTCAATCGCAATCTTAACCACGACGGATAGGTTCGGCGAGGAACTCGTCACCTATTTAATCAGGATGGCCAACAAAACCGAAGCCATCGATTGATCCAGAACCGAAATAGACCCACAATCAAGGATTGGAGATTAAAACCTTCCAAACAACGAACGTTTTAATTACGCCAGTGCGAAACCTGAAACTCCGCCATAAAACCGCAATTCGGGCAAACAGAAGGGATCGCTTTGCGAAGAAGCCGTATAATGGCAGCTCAACTGGTTTCGAATGTCAAACAAACGATTATACGTTTTATCCTCGAACATGTTTTGCCGACTGCGACAAATCCGGCGTTTTTGTCAAAGTCGTCACGCAAATTTTCCACCCCGTCATAGATCCGAAATGCTCAAGAGCGTCGGATGAGTCATGGATAGCTTCTGCATCTAATTAATATGCACCAGAATCAAAGTTTTCTTGATGTAACAAAGAACAAAAGAGTACTTATGCATTTTGTACACACTGAGTGATTTTTAAATATCTGCTCTAGTTACTCACGACGCTTTTGTCAGCAGTGAAATTGAAACTGATTTTGAGGGTCTACACTGTGTGAAGGTGTAGAAACTTATTTTAATAAAAAATACCTTCGTTGTTTGAAGAATTTTTAGACTGTTTAAAATGTCATTGATCCTTAATGAATCCAGCCCGAAATTCCTGTCCTAGTTTAATCATAATATTTATTAACCCTAGGTCGTTCAACCCTTTGAAAAGGGTTTTAAGTTTATCGGCTGATTAAAGGTCTATACATTGTTAATTTTCAAATAGTCTCTATTTTGGGCAACAAACACTTCCTTTGAATATAAAAAACCATTCATGGTTCTGAATTAGAGCAGTTTTTAAATGTCATCTACACATCGTTTATTTCAGGGATGTACACAAATGTATATATTGTTTGTCACGCACATATGCTAGATAATACTGTATCACTCGTCATTACAAGACAATACTCTTTGTGTTCTTTATTAGATAAGTGTCCCCAAATTCAATAGTTTATTCACGCTTAGAGCTGGACATGAATTCAATGGGAACTGGAAATACTTGGCCAAAAATTTTTGTGTGAAATATTGCCTGCATTAGACGCCCAGATGTCCTAGGCATTGTTTAATACCAGAAATATTAATCCATAGATTCAGAATCTCTTAACTAGTATTCGTCTGTCATCTGTTACACTGTTCGTGACTCGCAAAACCTCTATAATCAACAATGGTTACTGCTTGGCCTACACCGGTCACTGCTTTCTTCGCAAAACGGGTCTAAGATTACCGTATGATGAAAGAACCGATCGGATTAAAAATTGATTAAAACAAAAAAATAATAATACCGTCAAGTTCAAACAAATTAAGAGACGAAACAGAGAGCTCCAAACACTTGTCACGGTCGTAGAAAAACCAACGCGAAACGTGCTGTATACCATTATTTAAAGTAAACCCCGCCGACTTTAAAAAGCCGTTCCGGCATAGATTCGTTCCCATCTGGCCGCTTACATTGTCGCAAACTTCTCCACGCTAAATGAAATTCCTCCGAGGACGTTTCCGGCGCCCGTAAAACCCGAGATTCTTCAAAACGTATGCTCCCTTATTACGTAAATGCCCCACGAACTGGCGCAATTAAACTAAATAGCCCTCCGTTCCCTTATCAAAACACCTGTACGTCCCTCGGTAATCCCAATTATCTCCGGAACGTCTGGCTTTCCGGGGAGTTCCTCCCCGTCCCGACAAACACACGCATCGGACAAGCCGACGCGTCGGGCGTGTGCCAGTCGGGGCACATTTTGCCCTTTTCCCGTCTACTCCATCGCCCCCCGCCCCCCGGCAGCGCGTCGCTATCGAGTTCTCCCGTTCTGCTTTCTCCCCAGCAACAGTGGGAGAACGATGACTCATCCGACGCAGACCGGGGGAATTCCGGGTTACCGGGCTGTGGTTCCACCGTATCCATTAATCGGGCAATAAACCGCCGCCTCCGGGAGCACACCGGCGGCGGCTAAATCTCCTGGAGGGGACGGGAGTTACTGGGACGAAAGTTTTCGCATTAGGCGGAGAGCTCCAACTGGGAAAGCACTTGTTACATACTCGGCCAACTGTGATTCATAATGGGTTCCGAAATGATGGAATTCTCACAGGAAACCCAGGAGGAGGGGGTCGTAAGGGTTTTATTGAATTATAAAGGGGTTTGATGGCGGCCATCGATAAAAATGCGAATAAAGACTACTTGACTGTTGAATTATGTCTCCCTAAAAGTTATATGGTTAAGTCTGTGGTAATAGATGGAAAATCATTACTGCTGCATGAAGGCATAAAAAGGTCTAGAGGTTCGTGTCGGAGAGTCATAGACTTTGACTTTCGGTCTGGCGGATTTTTTCCTTCGATTCGAGACGAAATCGAAGTGAGGAAAGAACGTTGTAATTAGACGTCGGTACGGTTCCTGCCATGCAATAGCTATTTACGACGGATGATCAATAACGCGATTCATGTTGTAGACTTTTCAGGACCCTGTAACCCTCGGGCAAACAACGATTCAACTGATTTATGAAGGCCAATTTTCGGGGAGTTTCCTTCGAGGAGCGACCATATAAAAACGTAAATTTTTATTAAGGCGGCATCTGCAGCGGCTGTTGCCAGTAATAAAAGGTCTTCACCTCAATTCAGACACGCTTACGTGGAGATGAAATCCTCCAGTCCCGACCAATCCCCACAGGACGCAAAATCAATCAAGGACATCATCGACAAGAATTGAATCCTGCACCAACATCACCATACGAGACCTTACCAAAGTGGCGGTCGGTTAGCCTCAAGATTCGACTCCTTCAAGAGTTCACCACTTGAACCTAATCGCCGTCACCCCCGAAGCATCAATTTCGCCGATGGTGTTAATGCGAAATCGATACCTTGGGGTTCCAAAAACTCCCCAATACTCACCGGCCGCAGGAATCGGGGCCCGGCACGTATGGCAGAAGCACTGCATCACCGACTCCCTGACTAGTCCGATGAGCATCTTGGCGGCTTCTTCTTATCCCTTCTTCACAGAGTCAACGTGCAGCACTAAACCGGCGGACGACGACGTCGACGTCGCCGAAGGTCGTGATGAAGAGGTTCCGGTGCTCGCGAAACGGGGGATCGACGCACTGTGAATGTGTGTGTGAGAGACGGGAGAGCAGGTGTGGTGGCGGCGCTGGTTTGCGACGCCGCACGGGGCCTGTTCCGGTCGATATCGGATGGCGTCGTCGCCACAGACGCCGCCGCCGATGCGACGCCAACTTCTTCCGTATGTGTGCGTGAAAGCCCTTCGGGCCCCAATGGCGTAGCGGCGCACCGAGTCACTGGACCAATGGCCGCTACCTCGGTCCGATAACTCGTCGCCGACGTCCTCGTAATGTGCGAAGACGACAAGAGGGTCCTGGCCCGAAGGGGGAGGTCGGCGCTCGCTACGTGGAAGTGTTTGCTCTGATGTGCAAAATTGCACTTCCTCTTGTCGCGATGACAAAGGTTTCCCCTTTTATGTCGACGTCAAATGGAATCGCAGACGAGACGCCCATGAATAAAAAATGACTCAGCGATGGAGGACTTTCCGAGACCGCGGGAAACGTTTATTAAATCTGATAATTGACACGGAATGAGGGATGGAGGTGTGTGCCGAGAACGAGAATGCGTGGCACCTACGAGCGCGAATATTCGTTTGGCATTTTTGCGATATATTCAGAATATTTTATTTCGGTTCCATTATCTTAATCTACGTCGCGAGCTTCACAAATTTGTGTGGCTAGACCCGACATTTTTAGAACGTCAGTATGTAGAGGTATTGTTTTCAATTGTGAAAAAGAATATGTTAGATTAGATTAGATTAGATTAGCACCCTATTTTTTCACTTGCTAGAAAGAGTTATTGTATGCGTAGAATCGTAAGTGAATTTTTACGGTCAAGGATGTTTTGGAAGGGCGCAAAAAGATTCGATGTCATAAAACTCATTTATGAGACGGTTCATAATGTGGTTTCACCCCCCAAATACTGCATCATTTCTTTGAAAGCATCCTCTTTTTTGAAGAAAAGTTCGTAGTTTAGAGAATATTCCTCTTCCCGATGACAGGGAATATTTTTTCATGCAAATTTCCTGCAGAAAAAATCTTTATGACAAAAAGTGGACCTTTCATATCAACTTAACACAAGAAAAATTACGAATTAAAATCAATACCGATGATCTATTTAATAAAACCGCAGACAAACAACGACAGACAGAAGAAATGGGGACCGACATTTTCATATTCTACAAGACGTGAAACGTTGCGAAAATACAAAATTAGACATCCGTCAAAATGACGATATTGAAATTTTCCTCACGCCCGAGAATAAAAACGTCTTTTATCTATTTCGATCCCAGCACTTTTTCCTTCCACGGAAAACATAACTGTAATACTAACAGTACTGTCATTATTAACAATAACGCGCTAATTTAATCCCATTTTATTATCAGCTTTCCTCTTCCATCAATCAAAGTTCAATGTTTCTTGCACGGTTTCTCACACTCTCCTGACCGGAAATATCCCGTTTTGCACCAAATAAGAACAGGTCAACTTCATCGTAAAAAATTCATGTGTAAATTAACCTTACTTTCGAATATTTTCCACATTTAGAACATTATCAATAATTAAAGTTTCCAAATACGGGAATTGCCTACGCAGACTACTTTAATATCTTCGCCAAGCGCTTAATAAGCAATAACTTTCCCGTCTCTTCTTTTAAAAATAAATCCGCCTCCACACATGCACCGCACTCCCAATAACTTCCTTTCGTCCCCGAACCTGCACCATGTCAATAACGCTTTATCAAAAAAAACTACCAATTACGCCAAGTACACCACGACGATACTCAGAGACGCTTTGAAGGAATTCGTTTTAGTATTCGGGCCACGAAGCTAATGCCACATATGGAAAGGATCACAGCCTTGGCGATCCGGTCCCGGATTTTTTCATCTCTTTATGGTATAGGCGGGCGTGGGGTGAAATTTTTACCGTCTGCTTTAAACCGACAGAACTTAATTCTAACATCGACACTTTGTCGACCATCTTTTCGGCGATACCTTTCACGTGTTGGCGATCTATTAGCGTTGTGACAACGACAAGTCAAAAACATCGCGTGCTGGCGCCACGCTATGCGGTATCTGAATAATCAGGAAGATTCGCGCTAGCTGGAAAAAAAATTAAATGAATGAAGGCTGCCTTTTTATTGTTCCCGCGAGGTTGCTTTGTGCTGTATGATTCATATTTTGCAGCGTTTATTATGCAGGAGACTAATAAAATCTGCCAGTCAATCACTAGCCTACGCTGTTTGGTGTTGTATAGCGATGTAGGAGATTAAAGAGTCCGTGTTGATGAGTTGTCTTCGTTTCCTGTTTGCTTCGCTTGCGTTAATTTCGTTAAAAAATTTTTGGATGCGTGTTTATGCATCTCCGTATTTGGCAACAGTGTAATATGGAGTAGTTAAATTTCTTCTTCTGGCGTAGCCACATTCTCGTAAATGTTAATGTCAGAACTGCCTAAATTAGAGTCAGTGGGTTGATGAAAACGCCAGACTTTTGTTAATAAAGAGTGCGAATTGACAAGAGTGTGATATTTTTGTAACCTCGTTGAGTCAGCTAACTTAAATCTGATATTTCCAGTCAGGGAAACCTGGTTATGCCACTAAAGGAAATATTAGCAATAGTAGTAATCCAAGCAACTAGGATTATACCTTGTTAGAAAGTGACTCTTTATTGTTACCGAACAAATAAATTTCTGAAACTAAAGTTGTTTTAGTTGTTTCTTTTGTAATTTTACTGCTTTCTGCGTCCCGAGAATTTTCGTACTGAACCTTTTTCAGTTTTTTATACAACTACAATTTACCCCCTAGGAATTTTTCCTTTAGAAATGTATTAAATATTCAAACATGAATTCAGTTAACTTACCGACGTGACTTAACAGAGGTAAAATTGATTACCACCGTTTTATCGATTGGTACTCAAACCATTGTAGTAGGTATACGATGTTGTGTGAAAAAAGAACAATCTATTATATTTTATTGTTTCCCAGACAATTAACTAAATGGTTTTGTAATCACTGTCCGTTTTGATCTGCAAATAATCTTGTTGTGTGTATAATTTTGTAGGTCGTTAGAAATAAAGTGTTTTCTTGTGACATGTTAAGTGCCGCTTATACAGTTACAGAGTTGCCAAACAAACTTAATAATAACAATAACAAACCATATAGAGGTGCCCACACATGCGGCGATTTCGGCAGCAACCGGAGTTAAAAATAATAAGTTTCAGCACAAAAAGGTCGTTGAAAACATGTCCAAACCTAAATTTTTAAAAAGCTGGTGGCGACTGATCATATATATAAATGTGCAGAAACGCGATCTACCTGATTTATTAATGCCAAGTTCAACCAGGCAAACCTATAGGTGTGTAATTCTACTTTTAACCTGCCCGCCCTAAAATTTTTAAGCACCTATGGTAGTTGTCATATTAAAATTTGTTCAAATTATTTTGTATCCTAGAAATTCTTGGGAAACAATTTTTTAGATACACGATTTATTTGAATTTTTTTTCTGTATTGTTTTTTAATAGGGTCTATCCGTCAAAGATCTACTTTCATGTTTTATCGAAATTTCATGACTCTTAAAGTTTGAAAAAAATAGGTCCCCCTTTTAGGTCCGTCTGTTTGTCTGTCTGTCTGATGATCTGCACAAACAATTTGATGAATTCACCTTAAAATTTTGCATAATGAATGTACTTGCGGATTTTTTATCATAGGCATCCAGATATTAAAAAAATCCAAATTGTTTAACCTTTTATAGCAATAAGAACTATGATCAAAGTCAACCACGGATTTTTGAAAGTTTGTCTTTGATTATTGTATTTTTAAATTGACGGTAGTCTAACAAGACGAAAATTCTATCATCGGCAATCTTTGATCATCTCTTTTATTGCTCTCTCGGTATTAATTAATATAAAAAGAGCGTAATGGATCGGCCGTATAGCTCAGTTAGTTAGAGCGTTGTACTAATAAAGTGAAGGCTGCAAATTCCGTCACGGGTTCGATCCCCTCATAGACCACTTTTTTTTCTTACACTGTGACTAGTACATATTATCTATATTCTTTTATAAAATACTGGATCTGTTTGATTTTGTTTATCTCAAAGAACCTTTTAAGGGAAATCCCTACCTTTGGCTCTTGTTCAATACATGTGATATTTCCATTATTACAGATCTATTGTTACGGAATCTTAAATATAACTTGTCCACAACGTTCAACTATACTATAATGCGAAGGTAATTTTCTGAAAAAAAAAGAATCACCTATCTAAATCAATATGTATCTCAATTATTTACGAAAATTTCGGAACGTTATTTTCATCAGTTTTCAAATTAATAAAACTCTAGAAATTACAATATTCTTGACTTTTATGTCGGAAATGAGATAATACAGTAAAAATAGTTTTTTCGGCTAGAATTATTTTTACTCTTGTCATTTTCGACAAAAAAAATCGACAATGTTTTCTGCACGATTCAAGAATTTTACAAAGTGAAAATAGTGGTGAAAACCGAGTTTCTAAATTTCCACAAATTATTGAAATATTGATTTTTAAAAATACGTGATGCCAAAATTTCATTAAAATTAAGGAAAGATGATAAACTATTTTAAAAAACTGCGTCCGGGTTATATAGAAAAGTTGTAGACATACTATATATATTTAAAATTTCATAACAATAAGTTTGTTAATGGATACACATACATACTACATTCTGAAAATGTACTGAACACTCCACAATTATTTATTTATATAGGGTGATTAAATTTGTAAATTGTTAGTTTTCTTATATTATTCAATGGGACACCCGTATTTTATAACAATTTTGAGTTTATCACAGGGTAGGTTTTCTTATGATACCAAACCTGAATTTTTTTTAGACCAAACCCCAACAAATCTGGTGCCAAAAGAAAGCTTACTTAGAGAAAAGTTCGAAAATGTTAAAAAATACAGGATGTCCCATCCCCCATAATTTACATCTTAATCATCCTTTATAAGTATATTTAAACCTTACTAGCTTTTTAATGCATGTCTTAAACGAAAAAATGTACGCAAATTGGTCAAAAGTT